TCTGTCCCAACCTAGAAATTATAGGCCTATATCTCTTTTAAATACAGATTATAAGATTTTTGCAAAGATACTGGCAAATAGATTAATGTAGGTTTTGAAACAATTGATTCATACTGACCAATCTGGATTTATAATGGGAAGATATATGAAAAATAATGTAAGACAAATTGTTAATTTAATAGAGTATTTGGATACGAACAACCAAATCCCTGCTGCTTTAATATTTATAGATGCTGAGAAAGCTTTTGATCAATTAGACTGGAAATTTTTATTGAAAGTCGTAGAGGAAATGAACTTTGGAGACAAATTTTTGTGTGCTCTCAAGGCCATATATCAGCAACAATCGGCACAAATTATAATTAATGGGGGATTAACAGATGTATTTAAAATAGAAAAGGGTACGAAACAGGGTTGTCCCTTATCCCCCTTGCTATTTGTATTAACAATGGAGATTTTACTTATTAAAATTCGAGATTCATCTAGATTAAAAGGAATAAAAATAAGTAAGATTGATTATAGGCTGAGAGCTTTTGCTGATGATTTGGTTGTGACATTATGCCATCCAACAGATTCAGTCAGAGACTTGGTTGAAATTTGAGCACAGTATGGACAGGTCTCTGATTTTAAGGTGAATAAGAATAAAACTAAAATATTATTGAAAAATATGTCTATGAAGGGAAAAGATATTATAGTTGAAGCAACAGGTTATGAAGTAGTTAATAAGGTTAAGTATTTAGGAATATATATTACAACATCTAATGGAAAATTGTATAAGAATAATTATGAACGCTTATGGGTAAAAGTACAAAAAGATTTAAATGATTGGCAAAAATTACAACTATCGTTACTGGGGAGAATTTCAGTAGTAAAGATGAATGTTCTACCAAAGTTTCTTTTTTTGTTTCAGATGATACCTATTTTAAAAAAGGATGCTAACTTGGATGAGTGGCAGAAGGGTATCAATCTGGGGTGGGAAGAAATCAAGGGTAAAGTTTAAGATTTTACAAGACGCTCGAGAAAGAGGTGGACTTAAAGCACCTAATTTGAAATTATATTATGATGTGGCCACTTTAACTTTAGTAAGTGACTGGCTTAATTTAACAAATAAAAATATTCTTGCTCTTGAAGGTTGGGATTTATTATATGGTTGGCATGCATATTTAATTTTTGATAAGAAAGTAGATCTGGTTTTTAAGTCACACATTTTAAGAAATGCTTTACTTCGAGTTTGGAAGAAGTATTATTATAAGTTAAATTATAAAATACCTATTTGGTAAGGTGACCAACTTTTTTACAATGAAAAGGAGGACACAAATAAATTGAAAAAAAAATATTGTAAATAAAAAAACATTTTATTCATTGCAACAATAATACAAAATACACTATAATATGATAAATGCATAATAAAAAACATTTGTAACAATAACATTTTATATTGTAATTATGCTTACATGCCACGCCCCCGCCCGCAGCCATCCTGCTAGCACTAGTGCCCCACCGTGTAGAGCAGGCCCCGTGGCTTCCAAAGCACCAGCTGTGCTGACTCTGGCCCTGGGGGACAGCCTGCCATCGACACACCCCGCCTGCAGCCACCCCACCAGCATCACCGCCCACCCTGCACAGCCCCGTGTAGAGCAGGCCCCGCGGCTCCCACAGCATGGGGGCAGCCGGCCGCTGCCGCCCATCACACCCCTGCCCACAGTAGCCCCGCCGCCCCTGCCTCTTGCGCCCACAGCCATTATTGCCCTAGCAGGACTGAAGATCAAGAGAAACTTACCATGGCATCGCCGCTCCAGTCTCCTCCAGGTATCTTCAGGACTAACTAGGAGATGGTGTAGTTGGGTAGCAGGGAGGGATGCAAAGTTCCTGCCAATTCGCCTTCGCTACAGACAACTTGCATATGCAAAGTTTGCGGGCCAGGTGTTTTGGCGCACTCAGCAGCAATTCCTATTGGCTTTCAAAAGCCAATAGGGGGAGTAGCACAGCTCATGCAAAAGATGAAAAAAAAACATCAAAAAAAGGTTCTAAGCGTTCTATGAGAAAAAAAAGCCCTGCAGATTAGTCTTCAAATATCAAAAAGAAGGACATGTAGGAGGACACTTTTCGAGGGAGGACAGAACTTACAAAAGGAGGACTGTCCTCCCTAAAGGAGGACGGTTGGTCACCTTATATTTGGGGGATTCCTGGACAAGCAATTCAGGGGGTTTCTAAGGGGGTGAATTTTGATAATATTTCGTATAAAGAATTACTTATTTGGTCAGGTACTGATTGGCAACTAAAGTCTTCAGATGTGCTAAGGCAAGAAAATATTTTACAATCTTGGTCTCAATATTTGCAAATAGTGGAGAGGTGGACCTTAGATAAGAAAGTGGGAATTACTTTAGCAGATGAAAATTTGGTAATTCAGATTAAAGATCAGAAATATGCTCATTATTAAAAGAATTTACAATGAGTTAATAAAATTGGATTCGGAAACAGAGTTAGTAAAAGATTGTATGATTAAATGGGCCCAGAATATTCAGGAACCGATTTCATTGGATTTATGGGAGGTAATTTGGATTAGAAATGTTAAATTTACGCAGGCTCAAAATTTGAGGGAAAATTTTTATAAAATGTTTTATAGATGGCATCTGGATCCTAAAAAGTTGTCTTGTATGTACCCGAACCTGCAACCTAAATGTTGGAGATGTGGTTGCTTGGATGCAACCTATTTTCATGTTTGGTGGACTTGTAAAAATATTAAAGCCTTTTGGATTATGATTTGGTGGAACATTCAAAAGGTTTTTAAAAGGAAGATTAAGTTTACTCCCCAGTTATTTCTTTTGGGTATTTTTGTGGATTTTGATGCTAAAGAAACTATTTTAATGTTGAATTTAATAACAGCAGCAAGATTATTGGTGGGTCAATATTGGAAGAAAGACTCTCTGCCTTCTTTAGAAGAATGGGTATTTAAGGTTTCTAATTTAGCAGAAATGGCTAAAATTTCTGCTTATTTAAAGGACATTCACAAGAGAGATATGTTATTGTATGGAGAAGATGGATAGAATATGTTCAGAAGAAATATGGAACTACAAAGTTTCATTTATTTTATGAGTAATGGATTTGTTTATAAAATTATGATGTTAAAGTTTGAAGAGAGTTAAGGGTTAGTATGATTTTGGTTATTGTATAATTAGTAAACTTAAATAGATTATGTTTAATATGTTTGTATAACCCTGTACTTGGCTCTGGGAAGTGGGGGGGAGGGGGGAGGATGGGTTGGAGGTTAAATAGGTTAGATAAGTAGAAATAGTTTTATTGTATATAATATTGATGTTTTAATTTGGAGAGAGGAATTGCTCGGGCATCTCCCCTGGACTGCATCCGGAGTGAGAAGATAGGTGGAAGGGGAGAAGTAAGTAGGAAGGTTGAGGAGGAGAGGGGGAGAGTGAGGAAGAAGAGGGAAAGAGGGAAGTGAGAGAAGAGGTTAGAGGGTGGATGCAGTTTGGGGGAAAATGGGTGAGCAATACCAAAAGTTGTGTGTATAAATTTATTTTACTCTTTATCTGAAGTATTTTTTATGAATGTAATGTAAAATTGAAAATAATATTTTTTTTACAAAAAAAAAGAATTCTGGGAATTGAAGTCCATGGGTCATAAAAGAGCCAAGGTTGCCTACTCGTGACCTAGCTTGTTTTGTGAAGACATAACATTACAGTTTGTTTTATTATGGTTTACATGCTGGATGGGTAATTCTGGGAGTTGAAGTCTAGACCTCTTAAAAGTTTCTGTGGGTGAGAAACACTGTTCTAGCATATAATGTTTGTAACATTATTGGCAATTCTCTTTTGGACCACCAAATCTGAAGACAACATAAGAATAAAACCAAGAAGCTGCTAAGATGAACAAAGAAGAACATCTATATGGCTGGCTTCAGATGTCTCGCTAAGCCTTGTTTAGCCAAGATTCACTGAAGAAACTAGGATTAATAAAGGAGAATATTTGTAGCTCAGGGTTGAAACAGCCCCTTGAGCTTGTTTGTTTTCTTGCAGATGTTTCATTATCCAAACTAGGTAACATCATCAGAATTGCTGGATAACCTCAAGGCATCTATCTCCCTATGGTTTTGGGATATCTACTACTGAAGAAGACAGGTAGTCCTCAACTTACAACCACAAATGAGCCCAAAATTTTTGTTGTTTAGTGAGACATTTTTAAGCGAGTTTTGCCCCATTTTATGACTTTTCTTGCCACAGTTGTTAAATGAATCACTGCAATTGATAAGTTACTAACCGGTTGTTAAGTGAATCTGGCTTTTCCATTGACTTTGCTTGTCAGAAGATCACAAAAGGAGATTGCATGATCTTGGAACACAGCATGGGTCCTAAAGATGAACCAGTTGCCAAGCATCTGAATTTTGAGCACATGATCAAGGGGAAAGCTGCAAAGGTCGTAACTGTGAAAAACAGTCGTAAGACACTTTTTCCAGTGCTGTTGTAACTCTGGTCACTAAATGAACTGTTGTAAGTCAAGGACCACCTGCATTCAACTAGTCTCTAGATCTCTTGTATGAAATCTAAGATTTTGCAACTGTTCACCTGGACTAGTTTCCCTTTTATTTATTCGTTCATTCATTCAATTTCTATAGGTGCCCATACTGGTCAATGATTTGGCGATGATGTCATTGTTTATTTTTCGCATGTTACCTTAGTCCAGACAATACAGTAGCAGTTTGCTCATGGTTAGACAATGCTTGCATGTTACATTTTTATTTAAAAAAAATAAACCCTGCTGTGTCAAATTTTAGATTTAGGTCCTCCCTATTGCAAGAACTCACCATTTTTGTTTTTTCATTCTCCCCTGGCCCCCGTTAATTTGTTTCTCCAAATTGTTTTGTTTCTCCATCCCCCGCGCCCCCCTCCCCCGTTATTTATAAAGTAATAAGGGCGGGATAAAATATCTAAAATAAATAAAACTCTTTTCTTTTTTTCTATTTTTTTCTCACTTCACCTCTTCTTCAGGACACTGCCCGGTTCTAAGGGAAAGGCGGCCCTACTAGACCTCTTCCCCTGACCACCCCGCGCTAAACCCGCCACGCCGCAGACCACGATCGCCTTCCGCATTGCTTTGGAAAGCGAAATCGAAAGCGGCGCAAAACTGGACCTTCCTCCCACCCAGGCGAGCTCCGCCACTGCGGAGGCTGGATTTTCCACTCGGCCCTCCTCCTCTCCTCCTCCTCCTCCGCCCGGCTTTTCCCGTTCCAGCAAGGGAGCCAAGCGCTCAGCCTGCCCAGGTACCGAGCGTGGCGGCCGGAGGGAGCCAGCGCGCTCACCTGTTGCTCGCCTCCTCATTCTCGCGGGGATCCTTTTTACCGTGCGCGTGACAGGATTAGAGGGGAGGCAACTCTCCCTTGGCCCGGTCAGCTATAGGGAAGAGGGAAGGTGAGAAGAGAAGAGGACCAGTGGGGCAAACGCATTCGCGCTCCCGAGTGTAAGTAAACCAATTGCCTATTTTCTACGAAGAAAAGGACGGGTTTGAACATGATAAAATTACTTCTTTCTTTTGGAATTAATGTAACTCTGGCGAGATCTTTCGGCTGTGTACGGGTAAAGATGACATGGGGATTTCGACTCGGTCACAACTTGTGTTTGGAAAATGTGCTTTTATTTGTGCTTTTGTAAGCGTGCTGCTTGGGCATGTAGGAAGTATTTTATGCATCGCATTTATACAGCTGGGAAGCTAAAAACTAGGAACCATTTATACGAATTTAGGCATTAAATAGCGTGATCTTCGTAGGTGTCTTTACATATTGATTGTCCTCTCAGTTTTTGCTTGATATACTCTTTTCTATAATGGAAATCTAAGCCATTTTTTAAAACCAAACAGTTTATGCTGCAATGTGTCCTACCTGGACCCATCTACACCCATTATTTCCATCCTAGAGAACATCAAGTTGGGAAAGGCGATAAAAATAATTTTGTCACTCTTCTTTAACTGGTTTCACATCAGTTTGCTTGCTTAAATCTGGTTGGTTAGTTTACTGGGCTCAGCTAAGCAATTATGAACATCTACTTAAAAATAACTTCGGAATACTATGGATATGAACTTGTATTTTAAGCTATAAATGTTACATGCACAAACTTAAAACTGTTGAACTTAGTATTTAACAATGGAATCTCGGATTCTTGTATCAGTCGGTTGGAAATGGATCTTATTAAGCTTGGAATACAAGAGTCTCCTTGTCTTTCTTGTCAGGAACCACCAAATGTTCCCATTACTAGTGTGGGAGAAGCTCAGTGGAATATATTTGTCCTTGGAGAGGAAGGTGAATCGGCTAGGAAATTCCCTTTTCAAGTTTGCAATGAGCTCAGGACCCTTCTTCCTTGCTTTGCAATGTAAGAGTAGCAACTTTATTCTATTTAATAGGACTGTTGCAAAGGTTAAGATAGATCTGTGCTAGAAAGTATTTTCAATGTTCTTTCTCCAGTTTAGCCTTCCAGGTGCAATGGAATTTCAGTTTCCAAAGTTTTCAGTAAGACCATAGCAATAATATTCTCTGGAGGGTACTTGTTTAGTTTCCTAAGTATTATGCCCTAACTCACTGAATTAAGAAAGAATGCTTATTTATAATAATACTTTGCTTGGAACTGAGACATTCATTTTTTGTTAATTTCTTTCCTGTACAAATGCATGAAAAATTCAAAGAATGTTCCTGACATCCTGAGTGTCTGCCTATTGTTTTTAATTGAGATTATTCTGGATTTGCCTATGCAGAAATTATATTTGATTAGTGCAAAGCAAGAGACAAGGGAAAAAGTTATTCACCTTTTTTTTTAAAAAAAAAAAGATCTTTTTTCTCCATTTCAAATAGGAAACACTCTATTTGCTAAAATATAGAGTGTAGCAAAGGTCAGGTCTATACAACAGTTCATTATAAACATTAGCTTAAGTGTTTGAATTGGTTACCATTTTCTTCTACATATTTCCTCATGCTTTTGATACGTGACTTTTGAACTTCCCCAATTGCAGTAATATTTTCTCTGGGGGAAAAAAAATAAATCTACTGTGAATGGCCTATGGGCCTGATTTTTACACTACACAGGGAGTTCTCCACTTAGAACCATATGTTTAGTAACTATTCTAAGCTACAACAGCACTAAAAAAAGTGATTTATGACTGTTTTTCATAGTTACGATCGTTACAGCATCTCCATGGTCATGTGATCAATATTTGGATACTTGGCAACTAGCATGCATTTATGACAGCTGCAGTGGCCCAGGGTCATGTGATCAGTTTTTGCGACCTTCTGACAAGCAAAGTCGATGGAGAAGTCAGATTCATTTAACAAACTTGTCACTAATTTTAACAGCTGTAATGATTCACTTAACAACTGTGTCAAGAAAGGTTGTAAAAGGGGCAAAACTCACTGGCATTCTGTTGACAATGTTGTTGAATCTAGGGAAGAAAACAATGGGGGCCACACTGAATCATACCATTGAAGTCATAGGTACTTCAGGGTAATACTGTAATGATAGTTCAAACCCCATTGCCCATATCCTGAGGACTTTATTCTAGCATCATACGGCATTCTTCCTCTGTGACATTGTTAATCTAAGACAGTGTTTCTCAACCTTGACAATTTTAAGGCATGTGGACTTCAACTCCCAGAATTCCACAGCCAGCATTGCTGGCTGTGGAATTCTGGGAGTTGAAGTCCACACGCCTTAAAATTGTCAAGGTTGAGAAACACTGATCTAAGACAAACCTATAATTGATCTTCATTTGGTTTCATTTATATGGTTGTCCATCTCAAATTCCTGACTCTGGGTGGTTAACAACAATTAAAAGCATTTTATTGAAATGAAATGTAATGCATTGCTTCTCTTCATGTTGCTAACTGAGGTCAGACTAGAGCAGTGTGCCTCAACCTAGTTAAATTTAAGAAGTTCTACAGTTCTCAGAATTTCACAGCCAGCATACCGGGGTCCCTGGGAGGCCTTAAAACCTGACTTTGGTCCCTGACAGGTTAATGTTTAATACATTTAATGCATTTTGGGGGCTCTGTTGTGATGTGCGTTACCATTAAGATTATTTCAGTTTGGGCTATCTATGTGGTTTTATGGTTTAATTGTTTTTACAGTTTGGGGATTTTTATGCCACTCAGTGTCCATGTCATTTAGGCAGTAAGTAAGTAGGTAGGTAGGAAGATAGGTACGGTAAGTAAGTAATTTAAATAAATAAATAAAAATAGGCAATTCAACAGCTGTTCTCCAATAGAAAAGCCAAAAGCATCTATCTAACGCTATTTGGGCAGTCTTAAATATTTAAAAGTGGAAGTTTTGGGTAACTGAGATAAGAAGCTGATGAATGGCATTGACTTGTTTTGCATTATCGTTTGCATTTTCATTTATGGAATGAAGAACCCTGAATCTCCGAAGAGAGAAGCTGAGTTGAGTTTTACTGATCATGTAATTTAGCAGCCACCCAACCACTTTAGTGGTTTTTCCCTAGCAATAATGAGACAAGAAAAGTGGACAGCTGGTTTCCTGTATTCATAATCCCAGGCAAGAAAGACGAAAGGCATCCTGTGAAAACCCTCATCCTGGCATCTTGGGTGGAGTGGGCAAAAGCAGGCTGCTAGCCTGAGACTTCAGCATCAAGTTTGTCTGGATGCTGCAGTCCTGAATCACCTACCATGTTGATCTGATAGGCGTGGATTGCATGAATCAAGCTTATGGAGAAATGTCCCTGAAAAATACTTGCTTCAAAATTAGGTCATGTTTCAACTCAGTGGGGACATAAAAACACATGGGGTGTCCCTCTCCCAAGGAATTTTGGTTTACGCCTTTCTTAATGACTTTTCAGGCCTGTTAGTGGAAATTTAATTGGGTGCCACTTTTATAGATCTTGAGATTTTTGTCGCTCGCTATATTTTAAAAGTATTCTTTGTGGTAAGCATTTTAGTATAATTTGGCAATGTCTTCTTCACTATTCCAAACTGTAAAGCAGACTTGCCTCATCTAATTTTTTTTAAATTTGCCTAATTTAGTATCATCCTACTCGTAGATATTATTGGAATTGTAATCCAACTATCAAGTGGATACTTAATCAGGGAAGTATTCTGTGCAGATGCTAATCAACTAGAATCCTTGCAATGGGCTTTTGTTCAGTGCTTTGGTGTGCATATCATTTTAAGGGATCGCAGGCCCTCCTTTTTCTCTAGAATAGGCCTTATAGTAGGGGTAGGCAACCTTGGCTCTTTTATGACTTTTGGACTTCAACTACCAGAATTCCTGAGCCAGCCACACTGAAGCGGAAGGGAAAGGTTTCCAAGCTGAGCCATGCTGGCTCAGGAATTCTGAGAGTTGAAGTCCATGAGTCATAAAAGAGCCAAGGTTGCCTATCCCTGCCTTATAATATCCTCTTTACCTCCTAGCAAACCTCTTTTTCTAGGAAGATACGTTGTACACAATGCATTCAAAGAGTGAGAAGAAGAAAATGTTTGGAAAAGACAATTCTATGACTTTATTTCCTGGTGATGATATTCCACTCTTCATTTAATGTCCTTGTGATCCTGAGGCAATATGGTAAACAGTAGAGTGCTAAATATGGTATTAACACACAATTTACATCGTAAGTATTCCAAAGTATCTTAGAATGCCTTAATCTACTCTCTTAATCTTGCCAGTCATTTTTACTAGAATTCTAAGCACTGTAACTTGGGATGCAGAAGCTAGAAATCTAAGAACTTCTACAAAAAAATGTTTATTGCTTGCTTGCTTGATTTACAGGGCTTATAAACCTGACACAATCTCAAAAGACTCTGTGCAACAAGCTCCCGTCCCCCAAATAAGCCACTATATCAGAACAAAATCCAAACCTAAAATAACCCTAGAAGGCAAAGATAAAACCCCTAATAAAATCGAAAAAAGATCCCTGTACAGTCAGTTTCCAAAATGCTTTGAAAGGAAACAGTTTTAACTTCCCTGTGGAATTGCAGCAAGTACATGTAGCCTTTATCAAATGACCACTCATTCAGTGACTGTTTGAGGTTACAACCAACATTGAATGAGGAGGACTTGCAATGGGTCCTTGTAATTGTGACTATTATAGTGTCGTAGCAATTGCATAATCGTGATTTGGGTGTTTGACAACTGGCTTGTATTTACAACATTGTAGTGTCCTTTAGTTATGTGAACACTATTTGTATCCTTTCCTACCAGCTTCCAACAAGCAGGTCAATTGGGAAACTGGCAATTGTGTGACTGTGGAACTGCCAGAACTGTGTTTGAAGGTTAGCCCAGTCGCATAACATTGTGTTTTATCACCATCCCTTAGGATAGGTCCAACTTACATTGTTAAGTGGTGATTCTCTGTAGTTTCTTGGTGGGAGACAGAGATAGTCCTTATCTAGTGATTGCCTTATTTAGGGACCCTTTGCAAGTACGATAATTATGAAAAACTATTCTTGTAAATCGCCTGGAGTCATTGAGAGTGAGTTGTAGCAACCATATAGGTTTTCTTAAATAAATTTTGTGACCAATCCTCATATTTGTTTGTTTTTTTGTTCATTAAATTTGTGAGGTGATACAACCTTTACAGCAAAAGAAAGCTGAAGTAAGACTATAAGCACAATTGCTATTTTACTTAACTATTGTTTCACTTAACAACCAAGTTTCCTTGTCCCACTTTTCCACCCCATTCCTAAAAAGATGCCAGTCATCAGAGGGAGGTGGTTTACAAAGCCCAGGAAGGAGAAATGGCACAAGACTTCTTAGGTAGATTCCATTCCTTGCTCTTAGAATCCAACCCATCGCTTTCTATTCTGACACAAGCGTGATCCACGGTTCTCTCTTGTGCTAACCGAAGACTAATTCTAAAATAAAGCCTCACCCATTTAGAGCTTTTCGAATGGTGTCAACTATGGTAAAACTCTCATCTTCAGAGGCTGCAAGTATTCATTATTATCCTGAAATTACAAGAAGGTTCAGGCAGAAATATTTAAAGACCACATGGAAGCATAAACAATGCTATGTTTATCTTCTCTGGACTGTATGGTTAGTGTTTGGAGTTCTCTGCAAAGGTGCTCAGAAGGTGATCTGATTTGATGGCAGCATGTAGGATGCCTCCTGTGATCATCCACCTGTCAAGCCGTGGATCACTGATTAATGAATCAACAGCATGGGATATTTTTGACCAGAGAAATCCAATGTAATGTACATATAAAAGGGTAGATTCAAACAGTGCACATACATTGTTAAACTATGATAATGATGTTATGTTTTTTTGGAGTTTTAACGTTTTTAGGCTTTTGGTAATTAACAAGACTTCAAGCCCTGTACTGAGATAGCAGTTTGGGGTTTGGTCGGTCCAGATGTCCTGTAAAAATCTAGTAGTTCTTAATAGACATTAAAATTGTAAAAGATTTGCCCTGCCCCTTCAACTTATAACAAATGTAATTTCCTGTTTCCTCTTGTCAGATTTTTTTTTTGCATAATTGCCTTGCTATTTTATTAGAGTCCCAGTTGATCTTTTTCTTCTATTTGCAAGTGTCGTACCATTTCGTATCATTTACCATTGTATTTCTTTCCTGGGAAATCCGTTAGGAAGAAAAATAAATCCCGAGAACTGCTGCTGAAAGTCCTTTGATTCGTTGAAACTGTGACTAAAGATTATATGTTGGAATTACAACACTGAGGGACTTTTTCTGATTATTGGGGAAATAATTACTGTTCCTGATGAAAGAGAAAACCTTTCAAAGCTTATATCACTAGAGTTAAATGCTAGCACAGAAGTATTTTTTTTAAAGTAGTCTGATGAGGCTGAGGTTGGATTATAAGTACGGTAGCTGTGGTGATAACATTATTTTAAAATACATGCAACACTAGAAAAAGTATGTTTCAGCTTGGAGAATAGCAGCCACCTTGATTATATCTGGGAGTGGGCTTACCAGATGTCCAGTAAAACGAGGACAAAACCTCCTTTTCCTGTCATGTGCTTTGTCCAGCAGATATAATATTGACAAAATTAATATCAGCTTTTTTTAGTATCTTGGGCTTTTGCGATTTCTTTAAAAAATTGGGCTCCTTTCACAATGGAATTTTTTATTGTGATCAATTCAGTGTTATTGCTAGCATATGTTTTTGAAAATCAAGGTTTATTGGAAAAATATTGCAGTTGAAAAAACGCATTGTCAACTCTACAGCAAACCTGGCTGCAGCCACCTTGCTCATTCTAGATTGCTACATGAATGGGATGGGGTGCGGAGTATCTTTGCTAGTTTAAACAATTCTGTGTCCCGTGGGAACCAAGGTCATTGTATCAGTTAGTTTAGAGGGTTGGGCGTTTGTTAGAAAGCCCGCCAAACTATTTTATTAGGGAATGTGGATGATAGTGGATAGAGTAATTTCATATACCTATAGGCCTAAGTCAGGGTTTGTTGTTTTTTTTTGGTTTTTTTTTTTTTTGCAGTGTTTCACAGTAGTGTTGATCATGGATGCCAAGAAATTTAAACAGTTAATGTGTCTTCCTTTTCTCCTATTTGTCCTTTCCAATTGTCCTCCTTATTCTTTTTCAGTTAATCCTTCCTGTGCCAAACCAGACTTCATTAGGACAGTAGGTTCATGTATTTAATTTTGTTTAGGGTTTGAATCTGCAATAGGAATTCCAGTATGACATTCCAGTTGCAGCAAGATTGAAAGGGTGTTGTTGTGTGTTGTTTTTTTTTAAAAATGGCACAAAGTCCATCAGTGTACAGCTAGAGAACATCCATGTGGAAAAACCAATGGAGGACATTTAAATATTTGGAGGAATCCCCTGGGGAAGATTTCAGGCAGCTCTCCAAACAAACTGAAAAACAATCTTATTCATCTATTTTGTTTCATTATATAAAACCATCAGTGATGTGGCCTGTCCAAAACTGAGCCTTAAATTTACAAAAATTAAGTTGGAATGTTTTCTGTTCTTTGGCTTACACACACAGAGAAAGTGAGACTACTGAACTTCTTGCTTGGTTTCAACTTGACACAATCTGGTTGAGCACACCAAGAAAGTTTGTGAGCAGTATCCCCCTTCCTTAGTTTCTCTGTGACCACAGAGAGTCTGTTCAGCTCTCTCCCTTCCATTTTTCTGTCCCTGAAATTTCCTGCTTGCTTCCTGAGTTGCTCTTCTTCACATTTTGGACAAAGCTGGTTGGCAGCTCTTAGTCACCACAGAAGAGACAGAATTCTTAAGACAGAAATGGCAAGTGTGCTTTCCACTGAGCTTTCGCCCAAAGGCTCCCGGCCAGGAGAAATAAGATAAAAATCTTGGACCCAAAACTACAGCTACCCACGCTACATTGCCAGGCAGCTTCAGTAGATCAGATGTCACTTAACCTTGGGAGGAGTTGACACATATTTCCTGTCTCTTGTGTCACTGTCCACTTTTTCATCCTTCTATCTGCAGATGCAGATAGGCCTGATTCTGTCCACTGGGCCAGGTGAGTCAAGGAGGACCTGCCTGTCGGTCTAGATAGGTTTAGGTATAGGTAGAATAACAAAAAGGAGAGTGATTTCAGAGAAAGATCCTTTATTCTTCATCAGATCTAAAGGTCCCAAGTAGGAAGATGAATTTGTGCTTCTTTCAGAAGCCCTCCTTTCCTCTTGAATTTTCTTTTTCCTTCTCAGATTTCAGTGCCAAATAATTTTAGCATAATGGTACAATTCTCCAGAAAAGAGGCTTTTCTTAGAATTGCTATCTTCATAAAATTTCAAATTCAATAGCAGTAGATTGGAGAAATCATTGCTTAATATGTGCTTTTTATTATAAAATCTGAAAATAAATGTATTTTTATAAGCCAGTTCTCATTCTTTAAAAAAAAATAAATACTGGAGCATTGTCTACAGGGAACAGTTGGGGGATTTCCAGTGATCTAATTATCTAAAATAATGCAATCCTTGTTTTTACAGGTTTTTAAGGAAGCCCTCTTATAAATAAGAAGGCTTCTTCTTCTGATTGAGCACTGGGAAGTGATTTTAGTTGACATGTTAGTTTGGGATTCCTGTAAGTTCCCTTCCCTTCCCCAGCTTTGTACTGGAACTATGTCAAAAATCTGCACAGAAAAAAAAAGTAAATTAGAAACAATGTAAAGGGAAAATTATCTCTATGATATCATTGTACAGTAATGTAGAAAATGTTGGGAACTTTCCTACGGCAATGGGGCATATCATATCTAGCTCTCCTATCCTACAGTTTCTGCTATTTTATGCGGTATTTCCAGTTTTCCCCATGGAGAGAATTCCTGCACTAAATTACTGTAAAAAAATGTCTTTCCTTCCTAGTTTTTCCCCAAGTTGCAGGGTCCATTTTTTTTCAGATTAGCAAAGTGTTGATCTACTGGTTATGATAGAAGTTGATTTGCCCAAGTCTGCTGTTATGGGCTGAGGAATATTGGCTCAAAGTCACCCATGCAATTTTCATGCCTGACTTGGACTCAAACTCACAGTCTCTTGGTTTCTAGCCCGTTGTCTTAACCACTAGATCAAACTGCCTCTTTCTCTCTTTTTCTTCCTGGTGTTTTTCCTGCAATTGCAGGGTCCACTTTTTTGGGGGGGATAAGCTGAGAGAGTTAATTCATTGATTGCAACAGGCACATTTCAACCTATGTGTGAAAGAAGTCCTGGGATTTCTTTGGGACTACTTGGATCATGAGCAGTTATTGTTCCAATCAGCCATGGCAGCTATTGGTGAATGAAGTTCAAGCATGAGAAATAAATGTGATATGGAGAAGACCAAAGCAAAGGTTGTTGCTGCTTATTTTGCAGAAGCAGCAGGATAGATTAAGAACAGAGAATTGCAGAATTAAGTTCTGTCGCACTTTTTCCTCCCTCCTCCACCACCCTCATTTAGTAGGTGATAGTTGGATCACTCAGAGTGGTAACCTACATGCAAAGAGCTGTTGAAAATACGGGTTCAGATAATACCACCGGAAAATCTTAAAGACTATAATCAGTCTTCTTGGGCGACAGGAATTGACAGCGACTTGATGTCTCAGAATTAATTAAAATAGTTGCTATTTTCTATCATATTGGAAAGCAGCACTGGTCATCCATTCCAAAGAGAAGAATCATAGGTCTACAACATTTGCTTAAAATGCAATTCCCAACAGTTCCAATCAGAATTACCTAAGCTAAGGTGATAGACGTTGGGAAGTATAGTTCTGTAACAACAGAACAGCCACTGTTCCCCACATTTGCAAAAGATTTCAGTGAGTACATTGTGCTTCAGCATGGTTGATAATATTGGCACTTAAATGTATTTTGATTATCTTTGCAAAAGGGCATAAGACATGTGAAACTCCTTTCCAAACCAACGGTTGTCTAAAATACTTGGAGATTTTCTTGAATTCAGAGGTACTTAAGCATATGCAACTCTGGATCAGACCTATTGCCAACACAGGTTGCTGTAAATCAGACATATACCCTGATCACACACTGCTTTCAGCAACCTTTTGCTCTCCAGATGTGTTAGATATTAGTTCTCCTAGTCTTCAGTCATATTTGACCTTGGTGACCAGGAATAATAGTTAACATTTAGCACATCTGGAGGATAGTTTTTCAGAGGAGCTTGTTTGACATACCTCTGGTTTCAGTGGACTTTTTCCAGTTATACAGGGCCTTAAAATGTGCTGGTTTGCATTTTATGATTAGGTAGACTTCACAATTCTGCTTTTTCCCCTTCTTAAGTGTAGAGATTTGTAAGTTGCCCTTAATATATTTCTGTTGTAGTATTTCCTCTGTTGCAATTTCTTAACCAACCATAAAATATTATTCCTTTTTTTTAGGTAGAATAAGAGGAAGAGAACATACAGTAATGGAGTATATGAGTACTGGTAGCGAAAATAAGGAAGAAATTGACTTACTGCTGACAGATTTAAATATGTCGGAAGTAATTGACATCATGGAGAACCTTTATCCCAAAGGTGACCTGACAATTTACAAAGACAGCCTCATTGCTCTGCATCCGGAAAAGAACAAAAATGAGGAACGGACCGAATCTTTGCTGTTCAGCCGAAGAGAAGTTTCTTTGCTTTCCTGTGTCAAGTATGGGACTGTGGACGATCTCCTTGCATTTGCCAATCAGGTGTCAAACACTGCAAAGCAAATATGCCAGCACAGGAGACAAGAATCTGGAATCATATTAAACATGGTATGTGTTTTCTGAAACCTCCACCAGCTATTCTGCATGAATGTATTTCACATGGATCTTGGTTCAGAGCTGTGGGTTTTGTAGCTGGATTTTGGAGTCTCTACAATTTAGGTCTGGCTGATAAGATTTTGCTGATCAGCCATTGCTGTCCACAGACATTCCTATATCTAAGTATGGGAGTTAGATATTACTTAATTCCAAAGTGGTGAGATGGTAAACTTTGACTAATAGTCTCAATTACTGCACCTTATTTGAGTGACTTTGGGCCTCTCATGCTTTTTCTCATTTCCATGTGTGCCTCAGAGTTACTGCTGTGGAGAAAAAGGAGGGGAAGGTCCTCAAGGCACCACTTGAAGCTCCAGGAGAAAATTATATCGTACAGGAAAATGGATCCTGGACTGAGCTATGGTTTCTGCAAGTGGAGTCTTTAGCTTGGATTTAAGTTTTCTTTTGCAACTATAATGAACAAATCTCGGATTGCAATACTGTGATTAGCACCTAACTGAGCTTGGCTTTTCTCAAATAGGTGCAAGATTGGATTTGATTAATACTGCTAGGAGGTCAACCCCAGGCTGTAGGTTAGGCTGAACAGTCAAAAGGAGGCAATTGCATAGCCTTCCACTTAGTGCCTAAAATTTGACATGGATGTGTCAATGAAGTTGCCAGGCATTGAGCTTGATGTGTGAGGCTTTATCGTATGTTGATTTATTTTCTTAAAAAGAGAATTGCATCTATGAACATAAAACTAAAACAGTTTGCCCCTTACTAGGATGTATAAAATTATCTCCCTGTGACACCCTGTATGAAATTACATTGAAACTGCCTTTCAGTTATTCTGTCTGTCTGCCTGTGTGCCTGTCTAATTTATATAGCCACCTATCTCATCAAAGGCATCTTTTGTACATTCCCCAACTTTAAATCTCAGTAGTGATGCAATTAAAAATCTCATGTAAAAATACAGACTGAAACAAATATCTAAAGTCTGAGCATTAAATGTGTTAATATACCACTCATCTTCACCAATAAAGACGACTGTAGACAGCATACAAAATAGTAAAAATATAAAAAGAGTTTAAATTATTAAAATTATGCAGTTATCTATCAGGTATAGTGGCAGCATTCTCCTTTGTCTCCAAGGACGGCATATTTGTGAGCCCTTATTTATGGTTGCTGTTTTATCAATCCTTGCTCACAGTTGCTATTTGCAACCCCGAGGACTAGAAAATTAGGTATTCTTGACAGAAACAAATTAAAGATGGATTTTCCATAACAGGTTGACAGGAAAACAAGCTTCCTTGTCACTTCTCATAAAGACAGGTTGCCCTTTGATTTCTGTCAATTTTTTTAGATGAGAAAAAGTACGTCTAGGTCAGGGGTAATCAACCTTGGCTCTTTCATGACTTGTGGACTTCAGCTCCCAGAATTCCTGAGCCAGTTGTGCTAGCTCAGGAATTCTGGGAGTTGAAGTCCACGAGTCATAAAAGAGCCAAGGATGACTACCCCTGGTCTAGGTTATAAAACAATGGTAAGCAACAGCTGTGAGAAACTATTGGATGGAGCTAGTTGACTTTTTGGTTTTGTTTTTCATATATTCAGGACTTTTCACAAAGTTTTCTAATCAGATAGCATATCAACAATGTCTTGCCAGCTCATTCCTCATTCTGTTTTTCAACTTTAGCTTTGCTTGTGTGCCATTCAATCATGGCTTCAAACTTAATTAAACTTCTACAATACAGATTAATCTCTGTAGAGGCAGTTGAAATCCCACTATTTTAGAGCTTAAATATAGAGATCTAGTTGCTATACTTGAGCTCACCCCCAGGTATTTTGATAGCTTTCTCTTGATTAATTTTCCTTTGGAGAATTTTACCTTGTTAAAAAAAATTCTTGTACTTTCAAAGAACCAGTCAGTCTTTGCAATATATGAATGATTAGATTTCAAATTTCTTCTGCATGATCTATTCTGAGAAAAAGAATTAGTTTCTACTTCTCTGCCAACCTCCTAATACAACTTTTGAAGATAGAATACCTTGCATTTGCTCACCTCTCATAGCCAAACTTGCAGCTCTGTAGAGCAAAAGGTTAGGAGATGGCCAGAATTGCCTAACAAACTACCAAGAGGATTCCTTATGTAAGCCTGTTGATTAGGCTATTAATCAAGCTGTTGTTGCCAGACAGTTAAGTGCAATGTATGCTTTATGCAAGGCTAATCACCACTTGGAATTATAAATATTTCCAAGATGAATTGAATACTTCACATGCTGTTCCCATTTTATTGTTCTATATAAAGACTGCTATGGTCATGGAACTGCTGTGTTCTGAAAAGTAGAACATCAGCAGTGTTCTGTTAGAGACAGAGCTGTAGCTTAGAGTTGCTATCATCTTACAGGTTTTGTTTGTGAAGACCTAGATTCTGTCCTAGATATAGGTAAAACTGTTTTGAAATCAGGCTTCAACTCTGGTAACTTCATGCACATATCCATACATTTTTCATGGCAGTGTTTCAGAAATAGTTCCTTCCTGCCTCGTTTTGGTATTCCTTTATCTCTCCTCTAATCATCTGTCAGCCATAGGTGTCCCAATGGTCTTTTAACTAGATACACTAGTTAAGTGAAATCAGCCAAGGTAAAATAACTGTTACCTACACTACTAAAGGTAAGTGAGAAAGGCCTTAGATTGGGCAAAAGGTCACTGCCACAGGTACAGTCAGATAAGACACAGCATAACCTGCAATAGGATAATGGGCAGGGCAAGAGACTCAGAAGAGACATCCTAGTTTCTCAGATGATAAAGGAGGTAGAGAAGGATTGTACTTTCAGACTTGCAAGATTCTGTCAATGTAGCTTTATAACAAAGTAGAATTAGCTCATCAGGTCAGATTCCTACCTGGTTTGCCCAGTGCGGACAATATCTTGCAAGTCTGAATCCAGCTGCAGGCTATAATGTCTCTTATCTGCCCATTCCCTTGGCAGCATCTGTTTGCCCAGTCTCCCAAGATCTTTCCCACATACCAATTACAGACTCAGGCCCTAGTAATTTGCAACAGAAAGATCTGGGGGAAAATGTGAGACCTCAGAAAAAGCACTGCGAGGTAAAGGTAGATGGTTCATATTGGCTAATTCAGGTATGTGTATTCCAGTAAACACATCTGTATTTCACTGTAAAAAGGTTGTGAAGGAGTATTGTGTTTTGACTTTTTCCTTTATCTTAAACATCTTTAAATAGATCAAACCCAAAAATGGGCGTTATAAGATTGACTCAGATGTGCTTCTATTTCCTTGGAAGCTAACTTACCGAAATATTGGGACTGATTTCATTCCACGGGGTGCTTTTGGGAAAGTATATTTGGCACAAGATACAGAAACCAAAAAGCGGATGGCTTGCAAGCTGGTAAGATTTCTTAATTACATTTGGTAATGCCTGTGACATGTTGGGCCTTCTCTATAATGCTGAAATAGATGAGACTATTTGTCCCTTTATGATAGGAACAAGCATTTTGTAAATGTAGTTATTCCAACATGCATATGGTTGACTCAAGTTTTGAAACTCTATCTAAGTAGGACATATCCATTTTTCTTCTTCTTTGGAAGAGACTCCATGTATATATCATCAGCAAATGCTGAAGCGTCACATATGTGAGATGGGTGGATATATAAATTTAATAGATAAATGTAATTATGGTAACAACCATCTGGAGGTGGATAACTATGCTGAAACTAATTAAGTCTGGTCAGGATAAGAAAGAATATCACTTGAATAGTCTTGGTTTGCCAATGAGAGATCCATGGAGGAAAGATAGAATAGCATTAGAAGAATGAGTCAACCAGAGCTTATGCCCTTTGGGATGGGATGGGATGGGATGTTCTAAGCATTCTATCATAAAAAGGATAGGAAGCTTCTGCATAGGTAAACTTATATAGTGATGACGGCATTCATGTGGTTTAAAAAGACATATCTATTAACTCCTCCTATATAGGTTTTCTAAAGAATATGAGTTCTGCCACTAATCCCTCAGTTCTATAATAGAAATATATAGAAGGATTTTTATTTCTAATACTTTGCCTGAGTTGCTGTATTAAAGCAGTAATTTCTATCAATAGTCCACAATCCTGATGTCATCCCCTTCTTCCTGCTAGATACTCCATCATTCTCTGGAAAAGTTGTTAAGAAGATGGGTGAAGATCAAAGAAAGCTGGGCTTTCTCTGTCTATTATTGAGAACAAAGGAAGATTCCCCCTCCCATTCTAGCTAAATATGCTGAATTGGTTGGGGTCAGTTTGCCTCCCCAGCATCAAAAAAAGATCTAGCTTTTCCTTGGGACTCGAGAGAGGAAGATTGAGATTGAATGGCTTTCTGGATCTGCTTTCTTTCCAAGTTAGATTTCCAGATGATTATGTGAACATGGGGTAGTATTCCACCATATAGATCATCAAATTAAGCTTTGCAGGCATTCTAGCAGAACAGTCTTTGCTTGGACAGTATAAATTAATCAGCTTATGTTTGGCATTGTAGGTCCCAGTGGAGCAGTTCAAGCCATCAGATGTTGAAATCCAAGCTTGTTTTCGCCATGAAAATATTGCTGAACTTTATGGAGCTGTCTTATGGGATGAGACAATCCATCTCTTTATGGAGGCAGGAGAAGGAGGCTCTGTCCTAGAAAAGATAGAAAGTTGTGGGCCTTTGAGAGAATTTGAAGTCATCTGGCTGGCAAAACATATTCTCAAAGGACTTGAGTTTCTTCACTCAAAGAGAGTTATTCATCAGGATATCAAACGTAAGTTTGCATAGTCCTTATACTGTACAATATAAACTATATTCAGGATAACCCCAGCTTCTTTTAAGGTTATTGGGAGGTTATTTATTTACTGAAAATTACTTGGATTTCTGCACCCTAGGGACAAAGGATATCCAATTTATCTTTTATTAATACATTTTCATCTGCAGTGAGTAGATAGTAAAGTAGAGAATATTTTAAGGACAATATGTTATGTGGAAATGAAATAAGGTGAATGCTAGATGGGCTCCATGCACTGCAAATCCTAACCATGATTGCTCTAAAGCAAGTCCCATTAAATTAACAAGAGCCGAGTGTAGTACTGCAGGCCACTTTAGCTGACTGTGTTCAGCAGGTCAGCGGTTCAAATCTCACCGGCTCAAGGTTGACTCAGCCTTCCATCCTTCCGAGGTAGGTAAAATGAGGACCCAGATTGTTGGGGGCAATGTAAATATATATATATATATATACATTACTTACTGGTGTACACCGCTTAGAGAGTGCTTGCACTTGAAGCGGTATATAAGTCCCATAAATAAATAAATAAATTCAGGAATCTTGTTCACATAAGTAAGCATAGGAAAGTTGGGGTGGCTGAAACTCTTACTGGATTTAGTCAGCAGTCAGAAGCTTGCTAGCCTACTGTTACTTTGGAGGTCTGCAAGTTCCCACTGGTATATAGGTTTGCTATTAAAGAACATTATGAAGTTTTTTTCCTTCCCATACATTTATGTTGTAACCCCTTGAAAAGAATAGAGTGATGCAGTCAGGGTTAAACATTCTGAGACTGGAGGCATATGTCTTCTGTTTTAATTAGACAAATTCTGGACTCATGCATACCACTAAGCCATGTCTTGCCCAGCCATGATTTTATATTTACTTAACTATGATTTTACACTCCAGAAGACAGGCTTCAGATACAGAAGGATCTGGACACACTTGAACACTGGGCACTAACTAACAAAATGAAATTCAATGGTGAAAAAAGCAAGGTTCTACATTTAGGCAAGAAAAACCAAATGCACAAGTACAGCATAGGTGGCACCATGCTCAATAGTAGTAACTGTGAGAGGGACCTCGGAGTCCTAGTAGACAATCACTTAAATATGAGCCAGCAGTGTGCTGCAGCTGCCAAAAAGGCCAACACAGTGCTAGGCTGCATTAACAGAGGGATAGAATCAAGATCACGTGAAGTATTAATACCACTCTTTAATGCCTTGGTAAGGCCACACTTGGAATACTGCATCCAGTTTTGGTCACCACGATGTAAAAAAGATGTTGAGACTCTAGAAAGAGTACAGAGAAGAGCAACAAAGATGATTAGGGGACTGGAGGCTAAAACATATAAGGAACGGTTGCTAGAATTGGGTATGTCTAGTTTAACGAAGAGAAGGACAAGGGGGGACATGATAGCAGTATTCCAATATCTCAGGGGCTGCCATAAAGAAGAGGGAATTAAGCTATTTTCCAAAGCACCTGAAGGCAGGACAAGAAGCAACGGGTGGAAACTAATCAAGGAGAGAAGCAACCTAGAACTAAGGAGAAACTTCCTGACAGTGAGAACAATTAATCAGTGGAACAGCCTGCCTCCAGAAGCAGTAAATGCTCCAACACTGGAAGTTTTTAAGAAGAGACTGGACAGCCATTTGTCCGAAATGGTGTAGGGTTTCCTGCCTGAGCAGGGGGTTGGACTAGATGACCTCCAAGGTCCCTTCCAACTTTACTATTATTATTATTATCAATCATCGCACAGTCAGCCAGATGTTCAGACTGGATTTGGCATTATGTCTACCTATCGAGTCCTTACCCAGGACCTGGGATAGGCAGATGTGGATGTTTGATGGTATTACAGATATCGTCGCAGGATGGAAGCAGTTCCTAATAAGGCCGCCTTTTGCAATTGACTAATAGCAATTTGTCAATGCCAATGGTGTTCAAGTGGTGCTCCAGTTGTTTTGGGATTGCACCCAAGGAGCCTATGACTATTGGTACTACCCTTGCTTGCTTTTGCCACAGTCTTTCTATTTCTATTTGTAGGTCTTTGTATTTTGTTATCTTCTCCAGTTCTTTCTCTTCTATTCTGCTGTCTCCAGGCACTGCCACGTCCACTATCCAGACTTTTTTGTCTTTCTTATCGACAATTGTTAAGTCTGGGGTGTTATGTTGCAGGTGCTTGTCTGTTTGAATTCTGAAGTCCCAGAGCAGTTTAATTTTATCATTTTCTATGACTTTCTCTATTTTATGATCCCACCAGTTTTTGCTTACAGGCAAATGAATATTTTTTGCAGATCTTCCAATGCACCATTGTTGCTACTTTGTCATGCCGCTGCTTGTAATCAGTCTGTGCAATCTTCTTGCAACAGCTTACCAAGTGGTCCACTGTTTCTTCAGCTTCTTTGCATAGGCGGCACTTACTGTCTGTTGCTGTCTTCTCAATTTTGACTTTGTATGCATTTGTCCTTAAGGCTTGGTCTTGTGCAGCCAGAATTAGTCCCTCGGTCTCTTTCTTCAATTTTCCTGCTCTTAGCCATTGCCAGGTTTTATTATTATCTGCTTTCCCAGCTATTTTTTTCATGTATTGGCCATGTAGTGCTTTGTCTTCCCATGCCTCTATTCTGTTCTTCATTTGGTCTTTCTTGTAGGCCAGTTTGGTCTCTCCAGTAGTTAGTAAGCCTTCCTGATATACTAATTTCAGTGCATCTTCATCATTGTTCTTCAGATATTCTTCCAAAGCCATTTTTTCTTCTTCAACCATCTGATGTACTTGTAGCATTCCACGCCCACCTATTTGCCTTGGTAGATAAAGTCTATCAATGTCACTGCGTGGATGAAGGGCATGATTCATTGTCATTATTTTTCTGGTCTGCTATCCATTGCTTTTAGTTCTGCTTGAGTCCAGTCCACTATTCCAGCTGTGTACCTAATTACTGGAATTGCCCAGGTGTTGATTGCCTTTATGGTATTTGCTCCATTGAGTTTGGACTTTAAGATCTTCTTCACTCTCTTGATGTATTCACCTCTAATCTTTTTCTTGACTTCAGTGTGCTTGATGTTGTCAGCTTGAAGGATACCCAAGTATTTGTAGTACTCTTCCTCATCCAGACTCTTAATGTTATTTTCGTGGGGCATCTTGATTCCTTCAGTTTTCACTATTTTTCCTTGTTTGATAGTAAGTGTGGCACATTTGTCCAAGCCAAACTCCATTACAATATCTTGGCTATATATACGGACAGTGTTGAGCAGCGATTCTATTTCAGATGATGTTTTTCCATACAGCTTCAGATCATCCATGTAAAGGAGGTGGGATAGTCTGCAGATGTTTTTGATGTTTGATAGCCATGTCCTGAGTTATTCAGTATTGTTGACAGAGGAAACAGTGCAATAACAAATAGTAATGGTGATAATGAATCTCCTTGAAATATTCCTCTCTTGATATTAACCTCTCCCAGCCTCTCACCATTGATCTGCAACTGTGTCTTCCATTGTGCCATCGATCTTTGCACAAATTTTCTGATGTTTCTACTGACTCCTGTTATTTCTAGGCACTTTATTATCCAATCATGTGGCAGAGAGTCAAATGCCTTTTTGTAGTCAATCCATGCCACATTCAGGTTGGTCTTCCTTCTCTTGCAGTTTTCCAAGATCATTTTGTCTATTAGGAGTTGATCTTTTGTTCCTCTGCTATTGGGGCGGTTTCCTTTCTGCTCAGGTGGAAAGAGATTGTTTTCAACTAGATGCTGTTGTACTGCATCAGCTACCACACCAGTTAGTAATTTGAAAGTTGTTGGTAAGCAGGTAATTGGCCTGTAGTTACCTGGTGTTGCCCCTTTTGCTGGATTTTTCATTATTAGGTAGGTTTTCCCAGTTGTTAGCCACTTTTCAATTTCTCCTCCTTGTAGTATATTGTTGAACTGCTTGGCAATGAGTGGGTGTATAACAGTTAGATGTTTCAACCAAAACCCATGCAGTTCATCTTCACCTGGTGCTGACCAATTTTTGATTTTCTTTGCTCTTTTTTCTACCATTTTTGTTGTTATTACTAGTTCTTTCATTTCAACTTCTGTTTTATTTGCATCCACCTCTTTTAACCAAGCCGCATCCTTGTTGTATTTCTTTGGGTTATCCCATATCTGCTTCCAGAACTGCACTGTTTCTTCCTTGTCAGGTACTGACTGATTCCTTGCAGTTTCTCCATTGATGGATTGGTAGAAACGTTTCTGATTGGATTGAAATTGGAGGTTCTGCCTATAGTTTGCAATTCGAGCTTCATATCTACTGATTTTCCTGGCTATAGCTGTTATTTGTTGCTTTATTATTTCCAGTGCTTCCTTGATCTTCCTTGTTTCTAAGTGGTATTTCTTGATTAGGTATTCTTTGGTCTTCTTGTTCTTCAGCTTCTTTTCTTTCATCTGTTCTAGCTTGCTTGCATGTGATCTTAACTTGCTGATCTTATTTTCTAGTCTAACCTTCCATTTTTGTGGTGCACTGTTTGTTTGTTTTTCTTTTTTGTTGATTTTACATCCCAGGTATTCTGTTATAACTGCAGCTGTGCTGTACATTAGTTGGTTTGTTTCTTGCAGTGAATTGGTGCTTATACTTGCTATTGCAGTATTTGCATCTTTTAATGCTTGTGCTAGCTGTTTCTTTGGAACAAGCTTCAATGCAGGCAGCCTTATTCTGTTGTTTTTGTGCTGTTCTAGATGCTCAGTTATTCTTTGTTTCAATTCTTTTATTTCTTTAGTTAGAGGGTTTTGTTCTTCCTGAGGAAGAGGTGCCTGGTTTCCAAATGAGAACAGTTGTATATCTCTGCTGGATTCCTTCACTGCCAACTCCCCCTGGTTTGCCTCTACATTCTGAATTACTTCTGGTAAGGCTTTGATTTCTTTGCCCTGGGTAAACCTTTGCAGTTCGTCCAATTCTGTTTCTGTGAATACTTTATTTCGTGTTATAAATCGGCGTTGATCTGCTAGTCTCTGTTCTGTTATTTCTGATTCTGGATG